AGATGGGTACTGCCCTACTTCACCAGCTAGTGGTCCAGAGCAAAGGCTTTTTGTTGTTTCTTTCAACAAACACTGACATTACCGTGTACCAGTCGCTCTTCCAGGTTGACACATCAGTGAACAAGACCAGTAAAATGCCTGTGCTCGCGGGGCTTATATTCTGGGGATGGGGGCAGAAACGATACCTGACGTGACACATGAGGGGTGACCGTGTCACGGCCCTGGAGCAGGTGGGAGGCCAAGAGGGGAGGCACGGACAGATGGACCTTCGACCCACATGGAAGCCCGGGCTGACAGAGTCGGCGCGTTCTCTCTGCGATCTCTAAATAGGAGGGTCCCCAGTGGACAACAGTTAAAAGACGGCACTGCTCCCCTTGGTCCCTGGGGACTCAGAGGAGAGGGCAGGACAGCAGCCCCGCCAGTGATGAAGAGCCCAGCCCCCTTCTCCCCCCGCCCGGCTCCCCCAGGAACAGGACGAAGGTCTTGATCCCTCGCTGTAGAGCCAGAGCGTCTGCTTGCATAAAGCCAGCGCCTGAAGCCACTCTCCCGAGTGCGGGCCGAGGGTAGCTGCCCACAAGCCTACCTGGGGGCTCTGTGGACAGTGACCCTGGCCGTCTCTGCGAGCCTGGGCTCTCTTGGCTGCTACCACCTGAGGTGTCCTTCAGCCCGCCTCCCTGACTCTCACCATGGTCCCTGCCCCGCTCTTCCTTCCCTGGTCTCTCCAACCCCTACTGTGCCCCCCACCCCTCCCCAGGCCAGGCAGCCCTCGAGAGGATCAAACTCTGAGGCAAAGTGACTGAACTTCCTGAGATTTGTTCTAGCAAAGCAGTCAGAGTCGTGTTTCTGCCCCATCTGTCTGTCCTCGCCTCCTTCCGGAAGTATCAGCACGATACTGAACGTGCTTTCTAGCCACGCAGGTGCCCCGGGGCTTCCGGTGAATCTCCCTAAAGGGGTGCACCACCCTAGTGGCAACCCAGCTTTATCTCCAGCCCACTGCACGCAGAGACTGATGAGTCAGCAGCCGGTGCGAGCCCACCGAGTCAGAACAGACAGACCCCACCAACGCCAAGCCACGCAGACCTGCCAGAGTCCAGCAGAAAGCCCCTGGCCGCGTCCGAGCGGAGCTTGCAGCCACCGGAGTAACCCAAGACCTGCACCTGATACAGCCTTCCCTGCCGCGTCCCCCGGTTCCCAGGGTGTTTATACACGCCGTCCTCACTGCAGTCCTGTGCGGGCTGCCTAGTGCTGGCTCCGACCCAAAGAGGTGGGCCCTGAGGCCCTCAGAAGTCCGGCGCCTTGCCGTAGGCCACAGAGCTAGACTCACAGCAGCACAGCACATTTCCTGATCCCCGTCCCAAGCTTTGCCCTCCACCTAAAACTTAGCTCAGTCCAGGCTGCCGCTGAATCACCTGGGAAGTTTTACAAATAATACTGAGACCTGGGTCCCATCTGCAGAGACCTGGATTTGTTGTTCTGGGGTAAGGAAGGCCCAGGCCTCCCGCTAAACATTAGAAGATGCTGTGGCTCTGAAAGGCGGGCAAGGTTGGGGATGAGACCCCAGCTACGCCATGGCCTTGTGCGGCTCACGCAGGTGGGGACCAGCCTGTCCCACGCAGCACCCTGCTAGGAAAGGCTGAGCCCTCTGGGAAGACCCACTCTCAGTGACACAAAGCTAACTAGGCCCTCCCTGGTGGCGTGACAGGTTAAAGCACAGCATCATGAAGCTGCCACAGCTGCGTCACAGCAAGTTCGATTTCCCCAGCAGGGAGCTGACCCACAGGGCGCGGCAGACCTCTCCTGGCCCGCCCGCTGCTCCCCTCAGCAATGGACTTCGTCCATCTGCCTGTCCTGCTCCCCGCTCGCTCATCACCCCTGCACCTCTGGCCTGTACCCCAGTTCTGTATGCATAAATAAATAAAATCTTTTTAAAAGCTAAGTAAACAGCAAAGCCTACATTCAAATCCAGGCAGTCTGTCTCAAAGTCCAAAGGCCAGGGATGGGGTGGCTGGGCTCTCAGCTCGCCTTCAAATTCATGCCTACTTGATTCAGAGCCAGAAAGCTAAAAAGCGTATTTCCCAGATAGACCTGCAGCTAGGATGTGAATTATGCTCCACTACTGGATGTCGGTGAGTGATATTTGGAAGGTGGAGGTAAGGCAGGGACTTTCTGCTACACTGGGAGTTTCTGCCAGCAAGCCCGGTCACAGGGCTATCGGGTTTTTCGGGGCCACCAGCAATGTCCGGTTATTTCCTTGTGAGCCCTGAGAGGCAGCTGCACCAGATGGGCACTGTAGGTCACAGCTGCAGGACTGTGTGTGGGGGGCCAGTCACCTTCATGATTCCTTGCCAGGTAGGCCAGCTTCTGTTTCCTGCACTAAAGTATGAACCGTCAAGGAGAACTGGGAGCAGTTATCTGATCTGCTGAGGTTTAAAGGCCGGGAGGTAACACTTATCACAAGCAATGGCAAAACCAGTCATTTAATTTACTCCTCTGCCCCCCAGGCCTGGAATGACTGGCCTAGGTGGACTGACCACACAGCACTGTGGTGGGGAAATGTCCCCCATAAAGCAAAGACTGTGGCGGTGACCTTACAGAAAGGAAATGGCAGATTCCGCAGTTTTTAATATTTTTAAGATTTATTTATTGATGCATATAAGGCCTGAATTTATAAGAATTCATTTATGCAGACAGGCCAGAGGTGCGGGGGGTGAGAAGATTCAGCAGAGACAGAGCGGGGAGCAGAACAGGAAGATGGACTGAAACCCACTGCTGAGGGGAGCAGGGGGGTGACAGGAGAGACCGCTGTGCAATCTGTGGTAGCTTCGTAGTGCTACACCGAACCCCGTGTGCCACAGGGAGGGCCCAGTTTTTAATTCTTGGCTCAAAAGCAGCATGTTGCTTCTAAGACATCCTAAGACACTCTCAAGTGGCAGAGCCACAGGACTGAGGTCGCCGAGCCGGGCCCTGCCGGCTATGGAATTACATCACAGACGGAAATCACAAGCTTGCCAGGTCTCATGTGAAGACCTAGGGGCAAATGGGCTCTGGGGCGTGTATGTGAGGATGCTGGCTGCCGAGACCTACTAGATCTCACTGGCGGGCAGAGACAGAGCCTCCTTCCCTGTGCAATGAGGCAGGGCTTGTCCTGGACACTATGTTCCAGCCCCACCTGGACAGTTAACATGCAATGGATGCCTCAGACAAATACAATCTGACCCCAGAGAATATTATTTTAGTTACAAAACAAACTTTCAAATTAATACAGACACAATCTTGGGGGGTGATGTAGGATTGGATTCTTTTTTTTTTTTTTTAAGATTTATTTATATATGCATACAGAACTGAGACACAGGCCAGCGGGGGGGGGGGGGGGGGCGCGGGGTGAGAGGAGTCACCAGAGACAGAGTGGGGAACAGAACAGGCAGATTGATAAAATCCACTGCTGAGAGGAGCAGTGGGTGAGACAGGAGAGGTCTGCAGGGCCCTGTGGGTCCCTCCCTGGCCGGGGATCGAACTGGTGCTGCAGTGGCTGCAGACAGCTCCATAGTGCTGCGCTTTAACCCAATGCGCCACCAGGGAGGGCCCGCTGAGAGCTGGATTTGGATTCC